CAGGATCAAGGCCTTTTCTTTGATAAGGGAACATATCGTGTTGCTCCCTATAACCAGGAGCATCGCATCAATGGTTGTTGATTTTATCCCTCCAGTAATTAGTCGTAATGCTTGGTAGTGTGCCTTCTCGAGGGGTTTGAGAGTCACCTCTTTGTGGCCGTATCCCTCCAGTAATTAGTCGTAATGCTTGGTTTTTTTTAAATTTTTAACCACTTAAAAATATGTGGCTTAGAACTATTTACACTAATAGGAGAACTGGGTCTCAAATGTTGGTTCCTCTCAGGGAAATAAATTTAGTTCAATGGTAAATGTTCGCATGCCTACTTGTTGTGCATTCATTCAGCCGTGTGCCTAGAAAGCATGCTTTAGGCGCTAGCGTAGACACACGAGAGATGTGGCCGGGTGAACTTCGTTCAGTTGCATTGGAAGTGCATCTTCGTCATGGGAGGTCACAGCCATTCATCAATTGCTCCTCTATCTGACAAATCATAATCTGCCACGTTGATTAATTTCTGTCTGGTTAATCACAAAGCCTATTTTGAGTGCATAATCAAATTAAAAAAAATCATTACTAGAATCCCGGCTACTTGCCTAATCTTGTCTAGTTAAATCTGTTTACTTTAGGGGGTCTGAACGAATTTGAGTTTTACCACAAATTGCAACAAAAATATTTCCTCAATGATAGGAATGATCACTTTGATGAGTTGAAACTGATCAGTAGAGGGGATGGTGGACTATGAACTTTTTGGCAAAATAACTCCAAAATTGTATTCACGTTTTATAACTACCTTTCTTGTAGGATTCCGAAAAACATCTATTGCTATGGCCATCTTCTTTTGATTCTATGCATCTCGTTCTTTTTTTGAATTTAGCCTTACCAGAATTTCTTTAAACAAATGGTTCGAGAATAGAGGCAGTTTTGCAAGTGACATTTCAGTGACTTCAGCCATTCAGCTAGCTCTACTCCTTCTTCCCACGGAACTTCGTTTCCAGATGCAGGTTTTCTTTGAACATGCTCAGGAAGTCGTTGCCAATGCAAAGCGTCATTTACGACCTGAAACAACTCTGGAATTCGTTCAGCCCTCTCAGGTATATGCTTAAATGCGCAGTAAACTAATTATACTCAATCATTTTCTAATATTCTTCTATTTCCATCGGCAGCTGGCCTATTGGTTCTCATTTCGTTTCTTCTCACATTCTCAAAGGGGATTGAAAAATTCCGGTCGTGCGCTGCTTGAATTCTTGCTTTCCCAGCCAAATCCTCTCGCTCTGTTCAAAACTCCCAAATCATGCCTCAAAGATGGCCTCCTTATTGTATGTTGTTAATCCATTCTATTTAACCTATTTAAGTAGACTGCAGTTTTTAATTTCATTTATGATAAATCGAGCGATCGAAAATTCCAGATATTCTAAAATGGGCTCTTGCCTAATTTTAGCTGCCAGTTAACAAGCCTTATCCTCGGGAAAAGCTTGTCACTTTGTTGGATGGCGCCCAAAGGCTGTCTCCTGTCGATTCGGGGAAGGAATACAAGTTGAATGGCACAAATCATATGAAAAATGAGAGATCAAGAATTATCCAACGCTGTCAATCTTCTTCTCCTGTTTATCCTTCTACTTCTACTTCGAGTTCAAAGACCAAGTTCTTCTGTGTGAGTATAAAAAATCACGTGCTAATTAGATTGTAAAACGGGATATTTTGGTAGTGGTAACTACTGAAATCAAACGCAGTAATATATATCATCTCCAAGGTCGTTAGTTTAGCCGATTAGTTTGCAGTGCGTTATAATCATATTTTTTCCTCATCGATGCTTTAAACATGTATTGATTAATTTGGCACTAGCTTTTTGATACTTCATCAAGGATTAATCCAACCTGCATTAATTTCACTGTCAACTATTTGCCATTTTGACTTCATTCAAATGCCAACTTTGTAATGCCTTTGAAATTGCCCACATTTACCTCAACGGGGATTTTTCCTCAGTGATTCATACTTGATGTCATAGTCCTGGCCTTAGGAGGTTATCTTTGAAATTGATGAGGTTCTTTTTTCATGATTAAATACATGCGTTAGTACTTTTTCGAAGTATTTTATGCTAGCAGTTAATTCATTTACTCTTTTTCGAACTTTTTTTAACTCAAATTAGTTGTAATCTTCATCGGATTTCAGTTCAGAACCTCCTCTTGGATGAAAATATGTACTGTTTAAGGTACACAATCAGTGCCTACAATTGGGTTAGCTAAACTCCCGTTACTGAGGCGCCAAATTAAATGGGGCTACATCTGTTTATTTATGTACTTATTAGAATGGCAGGCGTTTTGATAGTTGTCATTAGCCCTTTAGCTGACTTCGGGCTTCACAGAGAAGGAGGAACATCAAAGTGACAAAAAGTCGAGGGGAGAGGGACAGAATAATGATTCCAAGATGTAAAAGAGGCAGACAGACAGACAGGCACAAAAGTAGAGAAAAGGTAAGATGAGTACTATGGAAGGGGTCGAATAGGACATACAGTGGGGTTATGGTAGTTTGAAGTTAGAAGTCAACTGCCAGTTTATAGACAGTTTTGCGTGTGAGTATACGTTGCCGAGGGTGCACCCCGGGCTATATTTGTTAGGTACACATGTTCTAGCTTTAATATTGTAAGGTAATCAAAACGTTACAAAGTTTATTGACTCAAAAAATCACCTCGAATGCAGTGACATTTAATGCTCTTATTGACTGCATTCTGCTTTATTTTTCTTTAATTATAGCCTTGAATCCATTTTCTAACGTATATGACCTGCTAATCTCAGCTATTTTAGCTTAAAAATGTTGACACATTTTTGCAGTCATAAATGCCGAGTTGGGTTTCAGGTTGTAATTCACTAAAATCAAAACTATGATGCCAAAGAAGGGAGCTGTTCAATCAGGCCTCCTTCCTGAGGTCGCATCGAAATTGTTTGTTTGCCCCGCATAATCATAATAATAATAATGAAAGCAAATATATCATTTCCCATGATGATAGAGATATAGCAACCATGTAATTTGAACCTAATGACTAACCTTGCTTTTTCGGGTGCATGGGGTGACTTTGCTTAGGGATAACGTAGGCTACTTTACGGAAAGAGTTGATTGCTTCCAATATTTGCATGAATCGAATTTGCTCTTAAGGGGATTTTTGCATTATGCTTTTTTTTAATTAACCACCCTAAGTGCACGCGAGTGGTGTAGGGTTATTCATTCATCCTGAAAATTTAAATTAGGATTCCACTTGATCAAGTAGGTTATTGTGGCAGAGATACGCTTTCATTGATTGGTTGGTTAGTTGGTTGGTTGGTTGGTGGTTGAAAACGAGTGATATTGGATAACTTTGGTTCTGAAATTTTACGGTTTCTCTTGAGACCCGGTGGATTTTCGCCTTGAAGATTAGTAGATGAGAATTTATAGTGTACTTCGACTTTCAGCAACGAAATTATTTCTCTTTCTTATTGCCGCTTATTCTCTCTGTACTTTTAAATAGTTGTCCTTTGTTGAACTTATAGTATAATAATGATCTCTGTTGTAGTGTCCCGGATAATGAAGTCGGTATTCTTTACAAAATCCTCTTGATAGGATTCGCCATATGCATATTAGCAGGTGGTTTTTTGAAAATATGAGCAATAATTGAAAATGCTAACGGGCATGGTGGAACGACAACCCTACGAGACACAATCAGGCACGAAAATCTCATTAAAGCAGATTCAACTTAATTATTTACACTATTTAAAGTTCGGTGTGTGATGTTTTCCATTATCCAAAGGTATTACCACAGGGTGACCAAGATAAAAGAGATCACGTGTGTGTGTGTGTGCGCGTGTGTGTGTGTGTGAATATAGAAAGGTAAATTTATATAGCATTTTTACTCAAAAGTTTTATAAACAACCGCAGACTGAGCAGTCACTGAGTCACGGGAAGTATTGAAAGTGTTCTATATGAAGTTTGAGGCACAACTCAGAATGTTTCAACATGTTTTGGGAAAGTTTTGTTGCTACTACCTCTCTTCTTTGTCGTTTTGCGTATTCCGTGGGGTGTAATGTTTGCCTCTCTATTGCCTTGTACACTCGCATATGTAACTGCTTCTTCAACGCGTTTCAGCATGACATTCGTTTGTTGTGAAGTTAGGAAATAGACGTCTTGTTGACTTCGTAGACTTATTAGCAGAGTCTCGTGAACACATTGAATATTTCCTGGCGAAAAAAACGGTTTATACACAGTTACTGAACCTGGAACTCCAAATTTAGCAATCATTTCCTTGACGCTACTTTCTCTAATCAAGGGTAAGTATCTGTGGATATTTTGTGGCTAGGCGTTCTTTGGACATTTCAAACGATTTGCGTCCCGAATACATTTGTTCGAGTACAAATGACAGGACTGTAGAACTGTGTTCAAAACCACTATTGACAAGTGGCAATGCAACACTGAGCAACAGACAGTTAAGACAAAATACCCCCCCCCCCTTTCGGGCATCAGTTGACCTCTAGCAAGCGTTCAATATTACTTTCAGCATGATACAGGACACAAGACCTCTCAGTCTTGGCAACACTGTAAATAAGTGAAGCGTAAACTGAAATGGCATAGTGTATGATTGTGTGTAGGAACTGAAGGAAGAGAGTCATGCAAAATGTGTTTAATTTAAAGAAATGTAACAGGTTTCATGAATGCACGTGTTAATATGATGGAAAATTATCGGAAATCGATGCAAACGCGCTTAGTCATTTTAACCAACTTCTATTGGAGCGTTGGTAGACCAATAGCTAATAGGCCCAAGTCGATTATAGGCACAGATTGCATTTGTGAAAATTGGTATAAAAAATAAATAAAGTGCATTGGTGGAAGTGGCTTTAGAAATCACACATTGGTTCACACTATGCTGTGGTGTGTTTTTGTAGTGAGAACTGCAAGAGTCAAGGTTTACCTAGTAAAATAAATCCATTCCTTAATTCACACTTGCGTTCTTCCGGTAATTTCACCACTTATAACCGACCAATGATTCATGGTCGGTTAGGGGAGAAATGAAAATCCAGAAAACCGGAAAGAGTGGAAAGGAATATCATTATAGAAATGAATCCTAGATGCCTTACTTCCAGACATCTTTACAACTTCTCTCTATTCACATTTGTTGCAATCCATTTGAAAATCTCTTTGTAGGCAATATCTTCGTTTACGAGAATTGTGAATTCTAATTTCTCAACGCGATTACCAATAACACCGCTTGTGTCTTTTTTCAGTCGAGGACTCTTTGCGTACAAATGTGTGCTTTTAAATGTGTCTTATTTTGCGGTAATAATATGATAGGATGGAATGGGGGTATTTGTCCAATTCTGCCCTTATTAAAGCCTTATTATAGCTTCTTTCATCGGTGATTAAATTTGGTTTGGCTTGGAAATTAAGGTATTTGACGTGCATGCCCCGTAATATAATCGGCACCTAGTAATCGCAGACTTGGTGACTCAATCATGTTTAACTACTTCCTAAATGACAAATCATCAGCGGTCGTTTTGGTTTGGCATTGGGAAATCTCATGTGATTCTACCCTTAACATTTATTTTTATTTATTTCAAATGGCAGGCGTTTTGATAGTTATCATTAGCCCTTTAGCTGACTTCGGGCTTCACAGGAGGCAGGAGGAACATCAAAGTAACAGAAAGTCAATGGGTGGGGAACAGAAGAGTGGTTTACAGTTGTAAAAGAGACAGACACAGAGGCAGAGAAAAGGTAAAATGATTACTGTGGAAGTGGTGGAATATGACATAGTGTGGGGTGATGGTAGTTTGAAGTGAGAAGTCAACTGCCGGTTAATAGACTTTTTTGCCGTATGAGTATACGTTGCCCAGGGTGCACCACGTGGAGGTAAGTCTATCGCACTTCCCACCCTTAACATAAATGGAGGAGTATGGAGGTGGGCTTACAATCATTCTGATTTGTTGGCTTAAAGTTGATAACTGGAAACGTTCATATCCATTGTTGTCTTTTTAAAAGTAGTTTTAAATGTTCGAGATTTCTTCTTTCCAACTTGGATTCCAATTACATCAAGTGAAAATTATTATTTCTGAATTTCCCAGAATTAACCTTCTTTTATAGGATTAAATGTTTTAGTATGATTGGTTTCCACGGTCAAAGTTCCTATTGGAAATCACTGCAGTCAGATTTCGCAGAGGTCAGCGTATCCACCTTCACCCCT